CATTTTCTAGTTAATATTTTTTAAAAGTTAATTATTGTGTTAAAAATTTTATTTATATAACATATATAAATTAATTTTTAAATTATTTTAATAAATTTAACCGTTTTGTTGATTATAAAAAATTTAATACCGTTAAATATATATTAATAAATAGAGTTTTTTTATTAAAAGATTGTAAATGTTAGATCAATTTAAAAATTGGTATGTATTATCTATATAAATATAAATTTTAATACAATGACTAGTTTTTAAAAATACTAATTAAAATATGAGTTTTTAAATAACAATTTTTAAAAGGCACTCTACCCTACCTTGTTCTCTATATATTATATTATATTGTTTTTGGGATTGAGATGGTATTGTACATTATTTTCCATGCATCAAACTAAAGTCATCCCTTTCCTTTGACCAAATAAAAATAGAGATAATGGGGATACATGACAAATTATAATTTTTTTAATTTTATATAAAGACTAAGAATTAAATAATAAATTTATAATTAAAAGTACAAATAATTCTATTAACAAATTATATATTTAGTTGTATTATAATATCTTTGAGAATACCAATAATTTTAACGTAAGTCAATCAATAAGGTTAGGATCTTATTGGACTTTTTAGTGTAGTGATTATGATATTTTGAGTCACCTTATATGCACTAACTAGATAAAATTCACAATGTCTAAAGTGATTAAAGATGTGTACTTGAGTATTTCTTAAGAAACAAGAATTATAAAGTATAGTGTCTCACATGTGGGAAGATATAGTCTATATATGATAAGACTATAATGGATATCTTTTTTGGTAGGAACCAATGGTGGATGGATATTTTAAAAGAGAATAAATGGTATCAAGATCATGCATGAACTTGCGATGGTTGGGTCATGGGTGAAGTATGAAGTGAACCACAAGTATTGTCGACATTGGAATGATTAATATGCATGACTCTTGATGATCGGACTTCGGCTTTTTTAAGTGAGCCGGCCAGGTCGACCACCACTTCCAGCCATTCCATTGGCCACGTTTTGCTGGACTCCACCATTTATGGAAAAAACTCAGTAATTATCCAAAAGATATTGTATGGAAAACTCACTTTCCATTAATATTTATCCACGCACTTACATGCCTCGTTATTTGAATAAGAATTTTTAATGTTTAAAAGAAAGAAAATAGTATTTAACCTGCTCTTTGGAGATTAGCCCAAGGCCAAAAAGTCAAAGATGTAATTAACTCAAGGGACTGATTTTGGACCTACAATTAAAGCCATAGATAATTTAGATA